ACGAAAATGTCTTACACACACAGAGGAATATAATTCCTCACTGAAAAATGAAAAAGAAGGACATTCTGCTATTTGCAGCAACATGAATGGTCCTGGGGGGTCATTATGTTGACTGAAATAAACTAGGTACAAAAAGGCAAATACCTATGACCTCACTTACATGTGGAATTTAAAATAATCGACTCAATGCAGTAAGTAGGATGATGGTTACCAAGAGCTGAAGAGGAAAAAGGAAAGGTGTTGGTCCGACTTCAGTTTTGCAAGAAAAATAAGTTCTAAAGATCTAATGTATGTAAGGTGACTATAGGTAACAATACCACACACTGTGTACTTAAAATCTGCTAAGAGGGTTGATCCTACAAGTTCTGACCACAAAAAAAAAAAAAAAAGAATGGTAACTATATAAGGTGATGGATATTTTAATTAGTGTGATTTTGGCAATTATTTCTCAATGTAAATGTGTATCAAATCATCAAGTTGTACAATTTACATACTGAAGAATTAAAAAAAATCCCCTTGAAACTAAACTTGAATGAGCAGAGATAGACATGGGGTGAAAAGGACATTGCATTTATAAACAAGTATTTACTCCAAAGTCATTGGAATTATATGTGGGTAAATGAATCAAAGTTGTTGTAAGAATTAATTCTTGGGTATCTATACACCCCAGAAAAACCGACTAAGAAGCCCTCAATCCATACCAGTTGTTCTCATGAGCACTACCTTTCTTTTAAGATTTATTTATTTGTGCATACAAGAGCTGGGGTACAGGCCAGAGGTGTGTGGGTGGGGGGCAGGAGGAGAGGATTCACCAAAGACAGAGGTGGGGAACAGAATAGGCAGATTGACTGAAATACACTGCTCAGCAGCGGGTGAAACAGGAGAGGTCTGCTGTGCCATGTGGGTCACCTCCCTGGCCAGATATCAAACTCGTGCTACAGTAGCTGCAAATTGCTTCACAGTCTTGATAGACCTGTCATGACCTCTACTGATCAGCTATAAGACCTATTAGATCAACCTTTGCACAACTGGCTATTTATTGATCAACAAGACTGCCAGAAAGAAAAACATCCATTGGAAAAAAGTTGTTGCTTAGGTATCTTAATTGAGAAGGTAGGAGATATTCTTCCAGGTATATGGACTGCCAATATCTTATTAGAAGTAAAAGACCCGGGGGACTCCCGGGTGGTGCAGGGGTTAAGGACAGTGATATCAAGCTACTGTCAGCCACTACAGCACTAGTTCGATCTCCAAGCTGGCCCACACGGTGCAGCAGACCTCTCCTATCTCACCCGATGCTCCCTTAAGCAGTGTTTCAGTCGATCTGCCTTTTCTGCTCCCCACTCTCTCTGGTGAATCCTCTCACCCCCTGCACCCCTGGCTTATACCCCAGATCTTATATGCATAAATAAATAAATCTTTAAAAAAAAGTAAAAGACCCTCATTAAAACGAGTCTTTGTACAAGCACCAGAAACCTTAGACTAGATGCTTTTCTCATAAAGGGGAGAGCCCCTGTAGTCAGAATTCAATTTTTCATTTCCTTGATTTACAGGTGGGAAGAATCCCAGTTCTCTATTTATTTTGTAATGCCTGGCATGTGAACCTCTAGCTGGCTCAAGTAGTTCTGATGAAATGCAGGACAATGACACCTTGAAAGGTGGTGACAGTGTATCCACTTGAAAAGTAATTGCTCCTGGCTTCATGCACAGTAACTTCAAGATGAAAAATACATTCAGAATAGCAAATGCCAAAAAGGCTTCTAATCCAACTGAGTTCATTCCTTATCATTTTAGGGAAGCAGGTGGTATAAAAATAATGCCAAAAAGCACTATTTATCATTCAAAATCTAGTGTTTATTAAGTGTTCTATATTCTCTCCATGTGATTTTCTGTTCCTGTGTCTTTGTGTCTCTCAATACTTCTTTCTCCCCCCACCTCTTCACCTCCCATCCTTTCTTCTCTATTTTTCTACTGTTTCTTCTTTTTTCATACAGAACTGTAATCACCTAACAACTGAATTCACTTTTCCAAAGACAAGCAAATGTAAAGTTCTTAAGACATTGTTTATTTTTATTGTTCTGAACTTAATTTACTGCTGAACTTAATTTACTGCTGATAGCTTGCAAAAACTGTGACTTAACTGTTTTCATTTAAATATTTTAATATGCTATGCTGGATCTATACAAAATAAGTAACACATGTAAACCATGTAACACAGCACTCCCCTGTTTTATATTAAGTTATTAATATTGATGTATTCTGTTTCCCTCCCATGAAACTCCCTTGTTTCATATTGTTATTATTAATATTGATATAGTCACTTCTTTCCTCTTTCCCGACCCTTTACTCCTGTCTCTCCTCAATCACGGAATAACTATTACTCTAAATTTTGTTTTCATTACTCCCTGCCTTTTTCATGATTAGTTCAGCTCCTATGTATATAGCTGTAAATAATATCTTTTAGCATTTACTTTATTAAAAGGTTATCACACTGAACATGGATCTTGTGTTACTGGCTTTTTTCACTCAATATTGTTCTTGGATTTTACTTAATCCATTTGTTACAAATGCTGAACTTCATTTTCACTATTGTCAAGTATTTTACTGTGCAAATAAGTCACAATTAATTGTATTACTCTTTGCTTGATGAACTAGATGTGATATGAGTTGCAAGTATCTTCTCCCAGTTTGTGACATTTATTTCTTTTCATTGTTTTAATTTAGTGAAATGTACCTGGTTTTTATGTTTAGCAAATTGTGACTATTTAAGATAGACTTACTTCATATATATATATATATATATATATATATATATATATATATGTGTGTGTGTGTGTGTGTGTGGGTGGGTGTGTATACACACACACACATATATATTTCCAAATATTTTAGCTTACCTTTAAAATTTTAGTCTTCATAGGGCCTCCTCGGTGGCGCAGCGGTTGAGCGCTGGGTTGCAAAGCTGCCCGCCGCCTCTGCGGCGGCGGTTCGATCCCTGGCTGCTCCCAGGCCACAGGAGGAGGGTCCCGCATGGCGTGCAGACCTTTCCTGCCGCCCGCTGCTCCCCTCAGCAGTGTACTTCGGTCCTTCTGCCTGCTCTGCTCCCTGCTCTGGCTCTGGTGAATTCTCTCACCCTCTCGCGCTTCTGACTGTACCCAGTGCTTGTATGAATAAATAAGTATATCTTTAAAAAAAAAAATTCTCTTAAAAAAAAATTTTAGTCTTCAATCTATCAAAAATATATTTTTGTAGTAGCTATTTTACTAGGTACACACAAATTTAGATTTTGTATTTTCCTGTTTTATTTTTTTGTATCTTTGCACAAAAACTTATTTTGATGCATTTTTTTCATAATGTGTTTTTTTAATTATTTTAATAAAACTATATCAGACTTCTTTGCCTTGTGTATTTTCTTTGTATTTTCACAAATTTTCCATCCCCTATGTTTTGGGTATATGCCTTATAAAAAACCATGGAGATATCTTTGCTTTAATGCAACCTGACATTATTTTAAGGATTGAAAATTATCAATTAAATTTAACCTAGCTAGAACTCTTTTTCTTTTTCTGTTTCCTATAAGTAAAGATAAAGAGGATACCATCTTATAAAAATAACAGATTACATTCTGTAACACACCTGATTATTACCATAAAGATGAATCAGCAGTTTTAAAAGTAGTTCATTTTATCTCCAATCTGCTTTTTACAACAACTTGCAGATACAGCCTTAAATACACACTATTTCTTGGATCATCTCAATTCTTAAGAAAAACTCTGCAAAGAGAAACAAAAATGACTATCAACTCTTATAACACATTTAACCATATATGCTACTGGGGACTAATCTAAGTAGAATGAATACCTAATTAATCACATTTTTAAATTGCATTTAGTAATTTAGCTAGGAACATGTCCAAGTTTAACTAGAGAGGGGTTTAAGAGATGTTCCCCCATCTCTCCTTTCACCAGGGGAATAGTCTCTCCTATTAGGAGGATTATTCAACCACAGTTAGGGTTCTGAAGATCTGGGTAACAGATGATACATAGGGAAAAAAGGTCACATGTTTGTAGAATGTAAAAAAATACCCTGGCCTTGGAAAGTGGGTGCTGTGGGCTATTGGCTGGTGTAGAATAGACTTGGCTGACTTAACTTGATTCTACTTTAAATGCCTTTCATCTTCGAGCAGGCTTGCCTAGACATGTTTACAGATACATACAGTGAGGACGAGAAGCAACCTCAATATGCAAGCTCTTTTTAATTCTTTTCTTGTATCATGCTTGCTAATATCCCACTGGCTAAAATAAGTCACAAAATCTACTAGAGTTAGAGTCACATTAGGAAGGCACTAAATGCTAGAGACAGAGGATGAGGACACCGGTAGAAAGTAGTGAGACCATTTTTGCAACTTGACTACAGAGACCAATTTCCTCCCCTGACCCTGAGAAGTGCAGGATATGAGCAAAACAACAGCCTTTTTCAGAGAGGACTAACAAGGAGCCATTGTCCCCACGGAAAGGCAAGCTTCTGCTGAGGTCCAGTCCCTTTGAAGGACAAGCTTGTCCTTTAGTCCGGGCCTCTCTTCAATCTTTGTTTGCTTTTTGAATAGCTAGAACATCTAATTGCCTTGAATCAATTTTTACAAGGAGAAAGAAGCAACCAAGAAGCTGGGTCCTTTGTGTAACACGGCATTTTTGGCCGGAAGCAAGATGACAAAGTGACAATGCTCATAAAGGAATGTGATACCTCCCAGGAACAGAGAGAGTTTTGGGAATACAAGCAAGTGATTTCCTTGTAACTGCTGTTTGGGATGAGTTGATCCTTGATTTGCATTATTTTTAGGTATCTCCTTAGAATTTTATAAAACATTGCTAATTGAGAAGTATAAAAACACTGATAGGGAACAGCTAGATTTCTGATATACAACAAAGTATTGCTGAGCCTTGGCTCACTTAAGGAAATAAATTCATGATTTCCATATTTCATATTTTGGGACAGTCCCTTTGTTGTTTTAATGCGTATGTGTATTTGTGTGTATACGTGCGTGAGAGTGTGTGTGTGTATGATAGTCACACTACAAACTTGATTTATAATTTTAGTTTATTTGGGTTGGTTCCACAAAGCTATAATAATGCATGTTTTTGCATTCACTGCTAGAAAATAGGGCAATAAACCTTAGGAGATTCAGACCTAATCTGTGTTGCCATACCGGAATGAAAAGGCTGAATTTCTGCACATATTTTAAGCTGCCTCCATCCTTAATGCATTATGTCATGTTCTTAGCAGTTTCCTCCATAGAAGATAGACTTTCAATGAGCCTGTCGGCTTGGGGGAAATCTTGCTCCTATGTATTAACTGCTGACTCCTTTAATCCTGTTAGAATTTAATTTCTCTTGATTGAATGTGGTGTTATCACCAGGTGCTGAGTGGCCCTTTCCTATCAGTACATATAAATCCTGTTAGTCCTTTCCAGAGTCTGGATGTTCCAGAGTTTTCTGCGGTCAGACTCCTCTGAAGGAGCATTTGCTCTCAGGTTCATTCAATGCAGGGAGTGAACATCGAACTTTGGCCACAGATGTGTCGTTTATTGGTATCTGAGTTGCAGGATGGAGATATCTCTGTGGATGGCGTAGGAGAGGCATATTTTTCCTGCATTAAATAACAAGTTCAAGGATTTAAAAACACTTTAAATTGTTAACTGTTCTTCATTGATTAGCAAGATAATGATAATAAAAATCTGTATGTTTTTCAATTCTTCCAATTTTACTAAACAAAGCCTTTCCTTTTTATATGTATGACCCGCTTTCACGGTTTGTCTCAGGAAACTTCCCAGCCATTGCTGGGATTTGAAAGGAAATCAATTCTCAGTGATCCCTGTGTCTTCAGCTCCCTGGGAGAGACTATTCCTGCTTCCACCTTCTTTTCCTTCATCTCATTTGTTGGCCATTTCCTGCTAATTGCCTTCCTTCCCAAACAAAAGAAAGCCAATTCTGTTCACAGTCAGTTTTGCTACTTGTTAGCACCTCTAATTATTTTTTTCAAAAGTTTGATTTAAAAGGAAATTACTGGATAAATTGAGGCGTTTATGTCATCTGTGGACTTCGGGCATTAATTAAAATATTTTTTTAAAGATTTATTTATTTATTTATACAAGCACTGGGTACAGTCAGAAGCACAGGAGGGTGAGAGAATTCACCAGAGCAGGTAACAGAACAGGCAGGAGGACCGAGGTACACTGCTGAGGGGAGCAATAGGCAAGACAGGAAAGGTCTGTCGCGCCATGTGGGACCCTCACCGGTGGCCGGGGATCGAACCGGCACTGCAGAGGCTGCGGGCAACTTCACAGTCCAACGCTCAACCTCTGCACCACCAGGGGAGGCCCCCCAAGGGCATTAATTAAAATAAATCCACTTTATTACTAGCAATCAAATTTGTTGTATCTACTGATAATTTTTGAAAGCTCCAATTTAACTATTTCATTGACATCAGTTGATCAACAAATGAGGTTGAGCTGAATTCTGCAGCATTCTGTGGTTTAAAAATAATTCAGATCAAGTACTTCCCCTCAAAGCAATGAGAATTTACTGTCAGATTTTTTTTTTAAAGGCTCTCCATGTCAAAAGTATTCAGGTCAACTTCATAAAAGAACTGGGTTAAGTGGCAATGTTCAGACTCCAGGCCCTAACTAAAATGGGAATGTTAAAATATAAACTGAGGCAAATTAAAACTTTTAAGAGTTTATTTGAATAAAAATTGATTTGAATCAGGCAGCATCCAATCAAGCAGACAGTAAGGAGCTTCAGAGCAGTTCAAATGACTTTTATAGGCAGAAGGAAACAGGAACAAAGAAGTTATATGAAAAAAAAAAAAAAAGCAGGTTCTTATTGCAAGGCTACTTTTCTTTAGGACATGGCAAGGTTTATCAGGCAGATGAACCTACTAGTTGTGAACAGGTGATTCCTGATCGACTGGTTTAAGTTTCCATTTTTTTTAACCCCCCCCCCTCAAGTTTCCATTTTTGTGAGAACCAAAACAATGAGTTAAATATTGGTTTGGTGATCCAGGGCTTAGCATAAAAGCGTTAGAGCATGACCCCGGGTCACCCTGGGATGGCCAGACTTGTACACTCTAAAAGGGTCTGGACATCCATGCACAGAAAGACAAAGAATACTCAACATAAAAGAACTTTAATAGAGACAGAAGAGGAAAAGATAATAGTTCCCTAAAACAAATAAATAAATACCCAGAGCTGCCCGTCCCCTTATGGGAAAATGTCCAGCCAAACAGGACTGGCCTGAAGCTGGGCCACTGAGACCCAAGAGGATGCCACAAGGCACCTTCTGGTGAGGAAAAATAGAAAAAGATTCTGAAGCAGGTCCCTGAAAGCTGGGACAAGGAGCAAAATCAAGTATAAATCAAGGTATCAGTTGCCACGGTCAGTCTTCCTACGTGTTTCTCACCCACATGTCTCTTTCAAGTGTCTCTACATGTCTCTCCTCCACATGTATCCTCCAAGATCCCCAAATCCCTGGTGCAAGTTCAAAGATGAGAAGCAAGAGTGCCCGTCATTTCCTCGAGCCCACTTGTCTTTTGTGTTACATAGCTTCACCTAGCTACTCAGCCCCCATCCTGCCTCTTGCCAACTTCCTATTAGCTCATCCAAGGCAGCTGCATGCATCTAAATGGGGGTGGGGAGCATGGAGCCATCCCCTTTTTGGGAGATGTTTCTGTTACAGAAGAAACTTCATTATAGGTCTGTTTTGTTTTTAACAGGAAAGCTAGGTGTGCTTAATAAAGCTTATTGTTTTATAGGAGAATGCTAATCTACTTTTGCCAAAATTTCTGATTTTTCAACAGGAATAAAGATTTTTGAATTGTATGCAGTAGCTCATAACCTATAAATATTAAACATTTCAACTAAAAAGACATTTTGAAGTTGTGGACTAGGTTTAGCCTTCTGTTTTACCCTTTTGCAAAGAAGAATTGTAGATTCAACACTCACTGGCAGCTGACAGCACATTTCTTATTGCCCCCTGCAAAACTGGTTGTTGACTACTCATTGGCTATAGTCTAGAGTCCATGATCCATGTGTTTGTCATTACTTGACCAGAAAACTAATAATACCTGGCTTAAACAAGCCACACTAAATCAACTCAGAGGATACTAAAAAGGGGACATAGAAAGCCCAAAGCAGCTGATAAGAGAATGGGTGCAGGCGCCATGATGGGTTCTAAACAAAGAATGGTAGAAGAGGGAGCTGCAGAGATGGTAGGTAGCACAAAGCAGAGAGAGGAAATATGAGCCCGACAGAGGAAGATGCTCAAATCCCAATAGTTTCCTAGACCGTGGGTTATTTTCCACTGAAGCCAGGCAGAGGGTGAGGTTTTATTATCATTTTATTATTTTTTTCATATCCTTTAATAACCTCCTCCTTTTACATAATAAAAGATATGGAGGTGTGTGTGTTGTGTGTGTGTTAAACAAAAGAAGTGTGGCATAGTCACATTTTAAAGGGTAAAATAAAGTCTTTAAGACAAAAAGCAAAGGGTAGCAGAGGGCCTTTGAATAATGATAGAAAAAATTTTAAACAGGAAAGTATAAAATTCTAAAGAGCTGATTAAAGATGGTGTCATCTCTTGATCCAGATGACACTGGATCACATTTATGAATTTAGTTCATGAGGGAAAAGTGGGAGGTTCGAGATTGAAATAGGTTGAATTTTGTTTCTCCAATTAGTCGTGAACATTCTATCACTATGATGTACTATATTATAGTTTCATATGTTCCTGGTTATATTGATTTATGATTTTATTCTCTGAAAGGGCAGAAACTTTATATTACTCATAAAATATGATTAATTTGTCCTGAATAGATACTTAATAGAGCCTCAAAATTCATAAAGCAAAATTTGACAAAAATATAGAATATATATTAATACATGTCAGTCATAATGAGATCTCAATACAACTCTCTCAGTATAGATTTAGCAGACAAAAATTTAGTAAGTTATATAAAATTATAAACAGTTTGATAAATAAAACAGACATTATAAGCATGTGTAGAATACTGTACCTAAGAATACCTTAGTATTATAGTAAGTGCATAAAAACATTTTCCAAAATGGATGATATGACTGACTATAAAACAAACCTAATCAAATTTCAGGGAATTGATAGTATACACAGTTTATTCTTTCCTCAGAGTAAAATTCAGTTTGAACTTAATAACCCCTCTGCAAAAGAAAAAAAAAATCAGGAGATTCCTTGGAAGTTTTTAAAATTAGTGATAAAAATCAGACAAATCAAAACATGTAGAACATAACTCAATCTTTGATTAGAAAGAACTTCACAGCCATTGTAAATCAGAGAGAAAAAGCTAAAAGTCAATCATCTAAGCATCCATACAAGGTATTAGAAAATAACAAATTTAACCTGAGAGAAGAGAGAAAATAAATATTAAAGAAGAAATTATTGAAATGAGTGGTAAATATAAAATAGAAGGGACAAAACATGCCAAAAGTTGCTTTTTTAAAAAACCTATGGAAATTGATGAGCCCCTGACTAGACTGAAGAGGAAACTCAGAGTGAAGACTGGGGCACCACTATAAGTAAATGATTATAGAAGACTATTATAAAAAGTTTTGTGGCAAAAATGTTCAAAAATTCAGATACAGGGCCTCCCTGATGGCACGGGGTTAAAGAAAGCGTTGTCAAGCAAACTATTGCCAGCCACTGCAGCAGAAGTTCAATCCTTGGTAGGCCAGGGAGCTACCCACAAGGCACAGCAGCCCTCTCCTACCTCGCCCACTGCTCCCCTCAACAGTGTATTTCAGTTCATCTGCCTGTTCTGCTCCCCACTCTGTCTCTGGTGAACCCTTTCACCTTCCGTACCTCTGGCCTGGACCCCAGTTTTGTATGCATAAATATTAAAAAAATCAGATACAGTGGATAAACTCCTAGAAAAATAAATCATTTTCATATTATTTTTATTGGTATAGTTATAGTTTTTATTGGTATTGTTTTATTATTGGTATAGTTTATAAAAGTATATATGATTCATAAGTACAGGTTCACATCTCTTCAGATGTATGTTACCACTACCACCAAGGCATCCATAAGCCTCCATCATAGTCCATTATGACCCTTATTCCCTTTGCTGACCTACCTCCCTGTGGTTGCCTCAAATCTGTAGTCAGATTCTAGGGTGTGTGTTTTGGTTTAGTTTTGTGTGTTCCTTTGTTTTTTCTCTATAATCCAAATACGAATGAAATCATATGGCATTTGTCTTTCTGTTTCTGATTTATTTCACTTAGCATAATTCCTCTCAGTTCTACCCATGATATTGGAAATGACAATGTTTCTTTTTTTAAAAAAGATTTCTTTAATACAAGAACCGGGGTACAGGCCAGATGTGCGGGAGGGTGAGAGGATTCACCAGAGACAGAGCGGGGAACAGAACAAACAGACTGACAAAATACACTGCTGAGGGGAGCAGCGGGCAAGACAAGAGAGGTCTGCCGCACCATGTGGGACCCTCGCTGGCCAGCCGGGATCAAACCAGCACTGCAGAGGCTGCAGACAGCTTCACAGCGCGTTGCTCAACTGCCTGCACCACCAGGGGAGGCCCTTGATGACAATATTTCATCTATT